ATATATATAGTGTTCAATCTTAACACAAGTGCAGTGAATCAAAGTGATCAAAACGTGTCAGTTTCAGATGTGATGACAACGTTTGACTCTAAAAATAATAAAAATAAATGCTGCATTTTACTGGAGAAAGGAGGAGCACACTTCCTGTCTGAAACACACTAAAGATAAAAATGATGGTTGAAAGAAGAGAATTAATCCGGATTTTATTGTGTACTGTGCTCCTTGTCTATGTTTGCTATTTCCATCATTTCTTTCCTGTTTTATGGTGTTATCATGATTAACATTTATTATTATTATTGTTTTGTAAAGCACTTTGGCTGCATTAAAGGAGCTACACAAATGAAGCTTTATTGTTAGTATTGCTGATTAAGATTTTTTGACCCCACATAAACAGATTATTATCTATCATTAATAATATTGGGGAGGAACAAATAAAAAAGGAGCCATTTTGAAATAAAATAATTAAACGAATCAGCACATTCGCATTTTTTATTTATTTCCCTACATAAATCACTTTCATTCAACTTAGCTCCCCTCATATTTTTCCCGTGATCATTCACGCCACCCTGCAATGGCTCTATGCCACCTCAAAGTGGTCCAACCCCCCAATTTGAGAACCGCTGCCCTAATGAGTAAGGTGACATCTTCACTGCTTTGCTTGGTCCAACTAACAAAACTCAAAGACATTCAGTTTACTGTGATTTAAAACACAGGAAGCTGAAACCAGCTGCCTATTCGATTATCACAACAGTTGCGGGTTCATTTTGTTGATCAACTAATCGATTCATAAATTCAACCTTTGATGCAGCGTCACCACAAAATCTGATCAGAATAACAGCTCATTTAAAAATATACACTTAGTTTTCTGATCAGTCTCATTTAAAAACAGTCACATGTCACCTGTAGAGTCTCACAAGGGAACACCTTGACTTTTAAACACCATCTGACAGAGTACAGGACTGTGTGTAGGTGTGTGTGTGTTTTTTGAGTTTATTAACAGTCCAATGAAAGCCAGCTGTGTGTTGCTTTGCAGCACTGATGGTACAACACACACACACACACACACAAAGAGTTGTAGAGCAGCTCAGACGGTCAGAACAGAGAAAGCGCTGCGGCCGTAAGCCGACACACAATACACTGTCTGCTCACAGTAAAGGACAATGACACTGTTTTGTTTTTGCTTCGTCACTCTGATTCAGTCTAATGTTGCACTGGAGGCACAAATCTGACAGCAGCGCACACACACACACACACACACACCACAGCTAAAACAACATGGACAACATTTAGTCGATCAAATTAGAGGATAATTCTGGTTTATTTCAACCTTTATTCATCCATCAAGAGCCCAGCTGTAACAAACCAGAATTATTCTTTTACTGAAGCTGATTTTGCAGTGAACATTATTAACAGTATGTCGTATATTTTAGTCAGCACAGTGAGTGTTTCAGCAGCTATTTAGAATGAAAACATGCAGGTGAACAGTCATGACGCAGCATCAGTAACAGAACGCTAACAGCATTAAGTAAGTGTTCAACAGACGTCTGGCTGATTTCTGCAATAAAGTAGGGAGACTGGTTTCCTGTTTGGTGACAAGTGAAGGTCAACAGATCACGTGTACAAGTAAACAAAGCTTTCTAAACTCACAACAACACTGCCGCATCATACCCAGAATGCAACACCCTCTCTTAAAATCCACATGATCTCCCTGATGCAGTAGAGAAAGGATGCTCTAACGCTGTATGACTGCGGTGACACCAGGTGTGTGTGTGTATGTGTGTATGTGTGTACCTGAGGTTTAAGGAGGTGAGTGACTGCAGGCTGATGATGCTGTCCGGGATGGTCCTGATGCAGTTGTGATACAGGTTTAGTGTCTCCAAGGCGACCAGGTGGCAGACCTCTGAGGGGACGTCGGTCAGCCGGTTCTTCGACAGGTCTGCAGAGAGAAAAGAACAAAAGTATTCATTAAATGATGTTACAGAAAGAGACTCGTCTGCTTGGGCAGTAAAGAAAGAACTCAAGAAACCAGCAAGGCGTGCTGACCTGACCTTTGCTGTGACTAAAACTGGTCAAAACTACCAAAAATACAACTCAACAGCAGTACAAACTAGTAGGGACTTATAAGAACCAAT